TATTATCTTTATATATAAATAGTACTTTTTAAGAAATAATTCTACTAGAAAGTATAAGCTTTATCTCTTATAAATAAGTATATATAATTAAAATAATAATAAATAGTAAGATTAAGTAGTTTAAAGCTTAACTATTAATTAAGGGGTTTAATTAAGTATATAAATAATATTATAATAAGACTTTTATCTTAACTATTTAAATAAATATACTTTAATTATTCTTAATACTTATAATAAAAGAAAATCTTAAATACTAATAATATAATATTAAGAACGCTTTTATTAAGTTAGGACTAAAAGAAAAACCTTCTTAAAGATCTTAGATAATATTTTAACTAAGAACAATTATATATAATAAGCTTTAAAAAGCTTATATAAACTAAAGTAAGTAATAAAAAACTAAAAATATTTAATAAAAGATAAACTTATTAAATAGGGATTTTAATAGAATAGAATATATTAGACCCTTATATATTTATATATAAAGATAAAATAATTAAGCTTCTTATATATATTAATAATATAGTTATAATAATTAAAATTAAAGAGAAGCTAGATTAGTTCTATAAGAAGCTATTATTAAGGTTTAATACTAAGAACCTAAGAGAGATTAGTAAGATTCTTAAAGTTAAAGTTACTTATAATAAAAAGTATAAGACTATTAAACTTAACTAAGAATAATATCTTATTAGTATACTTAATAAACTTAGAATTACTTAAGAAACCTTTAAACTAAAGAGAACTCTTATTACTAAATATATTTAAATACCTTTATCCTACTAATAATAATAAATAAATTAATATTACTAAAAACTAGTATATTATTAAAAGCTTAATATATATAATAATCTTTATATAACTTAATATTACTTTTATTTTTAGAAAACTTAGCTAATATATAAGTGTTGGTATCGTACCGGTAAATAAATAACAAGTGTATATCGATATACGTTAAAATCCAAGGTTCAGTTTAAAGGTATTTAAAAGTATATATTATAAAGAGTATCTACAGGTCAGAATATATATTACCTTCTAAATAACCCCCGGTTCGTATCCGAAAGGGATCTATCCCCTAACCGGGATTACCTGCACCCTCTGATTTCCCCCTATATCTCCATAGTAAAGGTCTGCGGACTAACAATAAGTAACCTAATTAAGTATTATAAATACACCTTAAAATTACTACTTAAATACTTAAAGTTAACTATTAAAATATAGATCTAATATAAACTAAAGAGAGAGTATAATATTATTATATTCTACTCTAATGTAAATTAAGTAAATAATAAAGTTAGTAAGAAAAGTGCTTTACGAAATATAATTATATTCTATAATAGTCTTATTTCTTAATTAAATAAGAAGTAATAATTAGTTATTACTTTAAGTTATAAATCTAAGTATATAGTACTTATAAATTATATTAAATATAATTAATAGTTTACTTAAGTCTTTTATAACTTAGGTTATATTAAGTTTATTAAAAAAAACTTAGAACTAATATAAATACTTAAGGATAACTAAGAAGCTATTATATTAATAAAAAATACATATTTAAATAAATAGTCTAAGTATATTAATAGTATATATTATTATATTTATAATTTCGTAAAATAAGAATAGCTAAAGGTTAATTATATCCTTATAGTTAAAATAGTTATTAATAATATAATAAAATTATTAAAATAAGTTATATTTCAATAGTTTAAAGTTAAATAGAATTAATTAAGAAGATTATTAGAGTTAAACGCGCTAAGAAGAACTTATAATTTAAGATTAAGTATTAAAGAGGACTTATAGTAAAATATAATCGACTTTAAAGAAAAGTATTAAAATATAAAGAGATTTTTCGATTTATCGGGTAGAATTAATATAGAAGAACTAGCTGAATAAAGGTTTTCTAAGTATATTATATTCTGTATATTATTCTAAGAGGTAAAAGGGAGGTTCTCCTTATATATATAAGATATAGTCCGTGCATGATCACGTGACTCAGAACGTGATAGCTATTATACTAATAGGATCTAAGTTAAATATTATATATATTATTAAGCTAAAGATAACTTAATTAAAAGTATTTAACTCTTTATATATTATAGCTTCTTTTATAAATAGTTCTATATAGCTTATAACGTATAGAAACTAAACTTATAATAAAATAGAAGAGTTAATTATAATTAATTCTACTATTTAATATAAATAGTCTTACTTATTATTATCTAGCTTTTCTTACTTAGCCCTATAAATATACTATATAATAAGCTATACCTTTTAATATATCTTTATATTAGTTAAAATATAAGTATAAACTAAAGATAAGTTAGGATTAAGATAAACTATAACTAGAAATAAAATAGATTATTATTAAAAAGCTAAACGTTATAGATACTTAATTATTTACTTATTAATATAAGTAAGTCTAAAAGAAAACTTAAGAGTTCTTTTATAATTAGTAAGAAAAGAAGTAATAAGATATAAATAAGTTATATTAAAAAGTTAACTAAAAGATAAGTAATTCTATTTAAGTTATTATAAGAAATTAAAAGATATATTAACTAAAGAAGAAACTAAATAATTAATAAGTAAGCTTATTTAAAGTTTTTAAAAGAGAAAGTTACCTATTCTACTTAAACCTTTTTACTTTAATTAAAGTCTATCTTATCTTTTTAGTAAATAAACCCTAATAATATAATAATAACTTACTTTTTAAATAAGTACTTTAAAAGTAAAAACTTATTTAAGTAAATATAAAATAAGAGTAAGAAGTCTAAGATATCTTAAGAGTATATTTTAAGTAAAATAAAATATTATAATACTAGGCTAAGTAAAAAAGACTTAACTTTAACTTTAAGTTTTACTTTACTAAAGATTCTATAACTTATTTATATAAGCTTTAAAACTTCTATTAAGCTTACTCTAAGGAATTAGCTTTACTTAAGTTACTTGCCTTATAGTTAATTATATAAAAAGCAGATAGTAATAATATATATAATAGACTTATAAATAATACTATAATATCTTAGGTAAATTATAAGAAAAAATTTAATAGCTTAGAGATAAGCTCTTTTTAAAAGGGGAGGTAATATAATAGACTAATTATAATAGACTAGTTACGTAAGTAAAGCTGATATTATAAAGCTATAAGGCTAAAGTTATATAATAAACCTAGGATTAACTTAGTTTACTAGTAATTATATCTCTTTTACTTATTTTTAAAGCTTTTTAAAAAGCTCTTCTTCTTATTATCTTTTTTACTTTATATTATAGCTACTAATAAATCCTTATTATACTATTATATTTAACTTACTAATATTTAATAAGTATACTATTAATATAAAAGAGAATAGCTTTTATATATCTTAAAAGAGTTAAAGTATAAAGCTTAAACAAATTAATATTACTAAAAGATATTATAAAAAGGCTTATATAAAGTAATAAGCTTATAAGGTGTCAGGGGCTCCTGCCATTTCGGGCAGGCTACAGCCCTTAAAGGCTACACGCCTCTCGAGCTCTACAGCTCTCCCTAAGTTTCAGTTAATACGATATTACCTCTTTGCTCCCTGCGTTCCAGGTACCCTGTGACATAAGGCTTACTTATAATAATTTATCACTAACTAAAAGTTATATTTAACTTATTAATAGTAGTATAATACTAAAACCTAACTTTTAATAATATTAAAGCCTTAAATTTATATCTTAAGTAATAAATAAAGAACTTAAAGACACGTTTATAACTATAATATAAAGTAGAAATAATTATAATAATATTATAAATATTTATTAGTAGTTATAATATAAAGTAGAAAAAATAGTAAAAGGAAGAAGTTCTTAAGAAGCCTTAAGAATAAGTAAGGAAGATATAGCTACTAGTGAACTAAGCTAGTCCTAGATTTATTATATAACTCTAGCCTTACAGCCTTATAATATCAGCTTTACTTACGTAACTCGCCTATCGTAATTAGTTTATTATAATAATAATAAAAGAAAAAGGTTCTTAAAAAGCTTTAAGTATAAGTAAAAGAGATATAGCTATTAGTAAACTAAGCTAGTTTTAAGTTTACTATATAATTCTCTATTTAAATATCTTTAATACTAAGTCTTATAGCCTTATAACATTAGCCTTATTTATATAACTAGTTTATTATAATTTGCTAGTATAATACTAATAAATAATAAATATATAAGCTAATAATTATACTTATAATTTTTTATTTAAATATATATCTTCTTTTTAATATTACAATTACTAATAAATCTATCCTATACTATTATATTATACTATTATATTATACTATTATACTTTAATAGCTTTATAAATAATCTAAAAATCATAATTATATAGTAGAAATAAAAGAGAGTTTAATTTAAATCACTAATATATCAGACTTTACTACTATATTATGTTTTATAATAAGACTTATTATACTCCAGAGATATCTTTAATAAGCCTAGGCTCCTATGTAATAGAACTACACGATCACTCCCACGTTACCTTCAAGTATTACTATCGATCCGGATCTTTTGCAGCTGCGTTACGAATCGTCCAAAGGTAAAAGATAGAGAGGGGTTGCCAAATCCTATTTCTACGCGAAGAGCAGCGCATGTGAGTAGCTGCGTAAGAAATCAATCGGCCTGAGTTACAGGGAACTGCTCCTCTATCTCCAATCCCGTTGGCTTAGTTGGATTTCCATTCGAGCGAAATTCGTGCTGTATGCATGTGCAAGTAAATTTATATGAAGAAAAACTACGTTCTATGAACTTTCTAATCTTACATAGACACTCAGTGAGTCAGCTGCAGGGATTTTCCTATGCCAAAGGAGGGGTCCTTTTGTGCTTGATAGCTGTCGCCTTTTTCACTCAAAGCAAGGCTCCTGTTACCTCTTTACATAGGTAGCTAGGCGGCATTCCAGCAGCAATCATATGGCTTGATGTATTTCGGGACGGGGTTGGAGTTGATTTCCCCCTACTGGGTAATGATATGCTCTCCATTAAACCTATCTCTATCAAGCCTTTGCTTTCGGCCCAAAACTTGGTGTCCCACCAAGCGAACCAAAAATATCGCCAATATAATTATCAGCTTTCACACCTATCTTAAAAAAGGTCCAGTTTCCTAGAATACCTTCAATCACCTGAATCCCTGAAAGATACAAATTCCTGCACGCTGGTTGAAAGCCACCGTGATCGATAATAAACGGTAATGATGCGACGAAGCTAGAACTATGACTCCGGTCAAAATTCGACCCTGCCCTCATCAGAACAATACGGGAAAAATCGACCCGCTTCTGAAGTGCAGCTCTAAGCAGAGCAGCCAATACTGCCGTATCTTCCATCGCCGTCATGTAGTACTGAGCCTGGCCAGCCGTGTATAGGCCAACAAGATCCTCAAAACCCTCAGCAAGATGCCTCCCATGGAAGAACATGTTACTAGCTGTGACATCGCCTTCACTAATACTTGGCTGCATGGTCGCAGCAGCAAACATATCACCTGCCGATCCGGCATACAAAGCTCGATTATCAATCGCTGCTTCGGAGTCAACCAGATCCACATCTCTTGCGAATTTCATAGCAAGCTTCCTCAAATTGTCGTTGAGCTCAAAAACCTCTGAACCAGTGAAATTGCGCGGGAATGAGCCGTGCGAAGGCGCTCCGATTGGCAGATAACCAGTTTTCCACGATGGTGACGTTTCTCTAGTATCAAATTCCAGCTGTATATCTACTTGCACAGCGAATCTTGCAAGTGCCACTGAGCCGATAGTGGATACTTTGGGATTTACACCAGCAATGCCAGAGAGAATGAAGTAGGTCTTAGTAAGGTCGAACAGAGGTGATGTAGTGAGTGCTGAGATGGACAGTGCTGCGTTGACCACTTCGACTTCATCAGCCGAATGTCGCTCTAAAACGAGGATACAGTACATGCTATTCCCGTGGTCAAAAGACAGATGCCTTTCTCGGAGTCATAATGTACAACATCATAATCGTGAGATAAGCCAGGAACATGGATCACCTGGTTGAACCTGACAAGGCTATCATCCGCAAGCCAACTCGCGGCTTCCTGGCTGAACTGGGAGGGTATAAGTATGATATGGTTGTAGTAATTCCTCTGCGAGAAAGACTCACCATAGTAATAATAAAAACTTTAGGAGCAACTTGGTCACTGGTCAAACTATGCAGTTGCCAGGGAAGTCCAGAGAAACTGCCCGCAGCATCCATTATCCTCCGGAGATAGATGTGAACTCGAGGCTCACTACCTGGGTTCGATGGTCTAATCTGGTCTTTGGCCCTGTTTTCCAATTCAAGGTTAAAAATGAAGCTGAAGTTAGGAAGTAGAGGAGTTGCGAAGTGGGGGAGGGGTAGAAGTAGTCGGGCATCCCGCCCCATACCCACCTTAGGTATCAAGGGAGCACGGTGCAGGTACCGCTAAGCCCAAAAGGGTATAGCAAAGCTTCGCTGAGGCTTAAGTGATTTTTCAGGCCGTCGTTCCCTGGATCGCATACCTTTTCTGGCTTTCTAGGGCTCGCTACAGCGAGGGTTACAGGGTTTTCGGGGGAATGTTCCTGGTGGCAGCTTGGGGAATAGCGGTTACCTTAGCTATCATTCCCTAATACTCCCCAAGGCTTGGCTGACCAGAAGAAACCTGGTGAATCTCTCAACTGTCGAGTCGAACATTTCGTAAATATAATCCCAAAAAAAGAGAGTATGTTACTGCTACACTTGAGTCTGGGGCTGGTATCTTGCCTTAATCAGTCCAAGTGAACCTCCAATAGGTCCGGCCTTCAGCTTGGAGCACGTGAGCGCGTGAACTTATGCTTGGAACGATTCTAGAACTGTGTGTGTTCACAGGAGTAATATGCGATAGGTTCTTCAAGGCGTTACTATGTACATGAAACTAAACATTTTCGCAGAAAACACACTCATTTAACCATGTCCAACTGGTATCATAACTCCCCAACCGTAACAACATCAACACTCTAATTCTTCTCTCTAATCTCATATTGTCCGACATCCTTCTTGGTGCTTGAGTCGTCGGCCCCTTCAACCTCAACAATCTCCGTGTGCTCCCCAGCAAACTGATCGACCTTGGTAGAAGCAAACTTGCGAGCAGAGACCTTGTGTTCGAAGAGGACATCGAGCTCACCATATGTGCGGCCCTTTGGCTCGGGTAGGCGGAAATAGGACCAAGTCCAGAGGAGACCGCAGCATCCGGCCCAGAATAAGCCAGACTTAGGACCCCAATTCCACGCATTGACACCAAGCATAGCGGGCACGAGAGCGCTGTTGATGATACCACCGATGTTGTAGAAGTTTCGGGCCAAGACGACAGTCTTGATCTTGAGACGAGTCGATGGGATCTCAGCAACCAAGCAGTAGCAAACTGGACCGACGGTAAGATCGTACACGAAGGTATAGACCATGAGGAGAGATCCAACACCCCAGGAGGCGCCAGTGTTATGATCTCCAGCAAACCCAAGACCACCAATAATAATCAAGATGACGAACATAACACCAAGACCCCAAAGGTAGATTGTACGTCGCCCAGCGTGTTGCATCAGAAACCAAGACAAGATCGTACCAACAGCTCCCATTCCAGATTGTCCGATGTTGAGCGAAAAGGCGTGGGAGTCATCAAGACCGGCGCGTTGGTAGACCTGAACAGCGAAACCGATCAGTGCAGCACCACAGAACGCTTGAGCGAGCCATGCGACAGAGGCAATTTCAGTACGGCGGAGGTCAGTGCCGCGGAAACAATCCCAATAGTTGGTACCAGCTGAAATTGCAATTTCCAATTCGTTGGTGGACTTCATCATCATGACTTGGTCGTGGACGTTGAAGTCAACACCGCTGCCCTTGGAAGTAAGTCGAAGGAGAGATTTCTTGGCATCCTCGAGGCGGCCCTTTCTGACCAACCACCTGACAATGAATCAGTAGACCGTCTAGAGCAGAAGTTAAGGTGAACGTACCATGGAGATTCGGGAGCGAATATGACACCAATGATGATCAAAGGTGGCCATACCCATTGAATGGCAAAGGGGATCTTATAAGCCCATTGATCATCGCGAGTAAGGAAACCCTTGAGGATGCCAGCAGCGAGCAACTGACCAATGACCCAGCACAAGTTGACATAGGTGGTGAGATAAGCACGGATCTTGACAGGAGCTACTTCAGAGGCGTAGGTAGTCGTAAGGGTTTGAAACACGCCCCAAGGCACGCCCTGGAGGACCGCGCCGGCGAGGAAGGTTTCGATGTTTTGGGAGAAGAAAGGGATGAAGATCATGGCCGTCATGAGGATGAGAGAACCGAACATGGTCTTTTTGTATCCGATCTTGTCGGAGATCCAACCATTGAGGTACAGACCAATGATCTGGCCTACCTGTCCTGCAGCGCCGACAGAAGTCTGCCACCGGGAGCTGACGACTCGGTCGCCTGGGAGGGCATTGTCACTGGTATCGATTTGGTCGCCAAATCGGTTTCGGAAACTGAGGGATGTCTATTAGCGAACGCCTGCCAACACGTGATTGAGCAGAGAAGTACATACGGCTTGAAACCCCAGAAAGAACCGAGAAGGGCAGTGTCGTATCCCTCCATGATAATTGCAGTGGAGAAGATGAGGGAGAAAGCAACGGCCTTTGGGTACAGGCGGAGACACTCCCTAACGGTCATGTTGTGCTCCCGATCGGTAGCACTCCGAGCATTATTGTTTTGCTCCTATAATCCCTTGTCAGTTGAAGTCCAGTATAGTGGTGGTGGTCAGGGATGAAAACATACTGCAAGGTCGGGATTGATGACGCTCATCTTACGGACGTTGGTGTCGTAAACACGGAGGATATCATCGTTCCGCGACTCGACGGGAACAATGGAGGACTTGCGTTCGCCTGCCATTGCGGTGATGTGAGGGGAAGGTGTCGTGTTGTTGAGGAGGGTGGTTGTACCAGATGCGGATTGTTGAAGAGAAGCAAGCTTCAATCCCAAGAAGATATTGATGCGAGGTGCTGATGATGGTAGAATAAAAGGGTGTGCAAGGGAAACATGGCCAGACTTATATACAGGGGCAGGGAGACATGGCAAGGACGACGACGGCGACAGTGAGGTCAAGATTTGGATATGGATGCAGTAGTGGTGGTGTGCAACTTGGCGAGAGAAGAATCCATGGTGCTGGTGCTGGTGCTGGTGCTGGTGCTGGTGCGTGCCGGGTGGTGGTGTCGGGACTAACGAGAGCTGGCTGGGCTGGGCTGGGCTACCCGGCTAGCTAACGAAGGTAAGGAAGGTCGGCTGGGGACACCAACCCTCCCCATCGGCCCGCGTGCTGTCTGGAATCTAGCGAGAGAAAAGACGCCAGAAACAGCAGCAGCACCAGAAACACCAGAAACACCAGAAACACCCCTGAGATGCATGCTACTGTAAGGTATGCTGCACCCATGACCCATGCATGCCGTGGGCCCGTGAGCATTATTGGACACTGGACATTGGACATTACCTTATTCATTATTGGGCACTTTACTTTATAGTCTTTAGCGGGGACGGCCGCTGCTGCCACTGCATTTGAGAACCCCAGAATCCGTCGCGTTCAGTGTTTCCGGTGGTCTAGCTCAAGGTCGGCCGGCAGTAGTAGTCTGCCTGGCTCGCCTGGTTAGTCTGTTCTGTGTGTTCCCCAGACCCGGAACCAGAGCCAGAGCCAGAGCCCGAAGATCCTGAGCCTGGCTCCCAGGCCCTGCATCCAGCCTGGGTCCAGCCTGCACCCCGTCGCGGGCATGGCCATGGCATGGCCGGCTGTATTTTGACTGGCAGCGCAGGGCTCAGCTGCTCCGTCCCCACGGCCTCGGCTGAATTGCCATTGGCCAATTCCGCTCGCTTCTCCTCGCTCAAAAGCTGATGTTCCCAGCCTTGCATACCTAGGTAGGTACTTACTGTAGAAGTCACATAGGCAAAGTGAAGAATTCCTGTACTGTACTGTACTGTAGAATAATAATAACCCGTCACTGGAGGCGTCTTGCCCGTACGGTCCATGGTCAACGGCATGGCGCAGACCCAGCTGGTTGGTACACGCACTGTAGTTTAAGTGTATGAGTTACCTTAGGTAAATTACCTACGTAGGTAGGTATGAAAGCTGGGGAAAGGCGTGCTAACGTACGAAAGCCCTACCTTAAGGTAAATTTACCTTACCTACCCACACTGTACAGTAGTTGTACTGTCGGGTAGTACTTGTACGCCTCAAGCGGGGGGTCGCGCCTAGTCTCGCCACTTCTCGAGCTTGGCCGAAAGCCCCTTCTGTCAACCCCGCAACCCCTCGAACGCCACGAAGAACAACCCAAGAAAACCCCAGCTCCCCAGACACCAAAGTAAATTTACTGCGGACAGGGGGCCCGGCAGAGAGAGAGAGAGAGAGATTGCGACCAATCACTACCCGCTATTTCTATCGCTTTTTTCTCCGGCTCTACTTTACGCTACTCTCCTCTGCTCTGCTCTACTCCACTCCTCTCTGGTCTGATCATATCTCACCTTGCCCTCCTTTATCACAGGGCCACGGCCACGGCTTGTTGTTCTCCAAAAGCTGGAGAAGGTCCGCTTAGTGAGACCTGAGGCTGAACATGGGTCGCTGGTTGATTAATCCCAGTACAACCTCCCCATACTCGAAAAGTGGACTCTGTCAATAATGCATGACGTTACGTGACACTTTGTCGTGGCGCAGGAGATGTTGTGCAACTTACAACAAGGCATATGTATGTCCTTCTGATCAGTGGCTGAAGGTACAGTTCATGTCATGTACTATTTTTCCATGCAATTTCCACTGTCTTCTTCGCCAACAGTCGTTGTCAATTGTAGAATATTACGTAGTCGTGTGTCTCATTAATTCGCACCAAAGTGGTGTATGAACTCTATTCACTGTCTAGAGTACAAGCCTTGACGCGTTGAGTTCATATGACTGAGGTATCCAGCCCTTCCTATGGAGCTATGGAACCTAGAATTCTTGTCGTCGACCCGTGTCGCTCACTCATGAAGCAAGCATCAAATCATACACCTCGGCAGGATTTCCCCAAGGAATGTATAGTCTACCCCAAAAATCCTCAGCGGCTCCAGATTGAGTCTATTATAGTGTTTTCGCACCGGCAGAACACTTTTGGAGAAATAGTTTTCACCCCTGTGCGCCGAGCAATTAGTTATAGTAAGTTATACCTAATTTTATATGTAATTTGCTGGGTTCCTTACTAGGTCTTATTAACCTCAAATTCCGTGCTTAGCCCCTAAGATCCTGTGATATTTTCGCACCGGCAGAACACTTTTGGAGAAATAGTTTTCACCCCTGTGCGCCGAGCAATTAGTTATAGTAAGTTATACCTAATTTTATATGTAATTTTCTAGGGTTCCTTACTAGGTCTTATTAACCTTAAATTCCGTGCTTAGCCCCTAAGATCCTGTGATATTAAAACCTTTAAATATTATCTAAATTATTAAATATTTATCTATCTTTAACTATATTAAATATAGCTATTTATAAACTAAGTATATTAGCCCTAGTACTAATTATATAGCTTCAGAGGCGTTATAAATATTAAATTAAGCTTTAAAACTAATAGTAAGCATCTAAGTATTAATTACTATATAAATATTAATATAAGACCTTTACCTTAGAACTCTTTCTCTCTAGAAAGGCCTATATATTCTTTTAGGTTTTAATTCCAGAGATATAATAGCTTAGTAACCTTTTTCGTCTTAATCTTAATAAATATTAAAATTAGTATATCTATAACCTTATTATTAGCTTTTACGTTATTTATACTCGATTAGTATTTCTAAGATAATAGTACTAGCTTATAGATATATTTAGAATATCTATTAGGAGCTCCTGCTATTTCCGTTAGGCTATAGCCCTTAAAGGCTATACGTCTCTCGAGCTCTATAGCTCTCCTTAAGTTTCAGTTAATATAATATTACCTCTTTACTTCTTATATTCTAAGTACCTTATAATACTTTAAAACTTCTTTAAAGTAGTATAGTAGAAAGAATAACTAAAGAGAGAGATCTACTTAGAGCCTTTCTATTAAGATACTATAGTACTACTATAGCTAGACCTTAATTAAGTACCTACTAATATTACTTTACTAATATAATTAATAAGAAAAGTAATACTCTCTAAGTAAAAGATTAATCTAGATATAGCTAAGCGACTATCTTAATTATAGAAGTAAGAGATTAAGATTCCCTTACTTAGTAAACTATTAATAAACGCCTTAGAGCTTAGTATAACTATAAGTTCTAGAAATAGAGAAAGCTCCGGCTACTAAGTATATAATAATCCAGATTCTTTAGACTTATTATTTATAAATTCAGAATATATCTATAATATTAAAAATAAAGATTTAAATCCTATTAGCGAAAACTCCCTCTTACTAATAGCTAGCTACTAAGTATAAGTAGAGAGTAAGTAAGAGAATTACTAAAACTTACTAATATTATAATACTCTTAGAGCTACTAACGCCCTTAAGATACTCTATAGAGAACTTATAGTAATTTACTAACTTATAATAACTCCTTACTATACTCCTACTTTTTATATAGCTCTTAAGCTATAATCGAGGTATAAAGCTAGAAGATTAACTGCTTTAAAGAGCTAAACTAAACTATATCTATAAAGATATAAGTTATAGAACGCTAATAAATAATAGTTTTTTTAGGTTAAGAAGAATATTTCGAAGCTACTCTAATAATAAGTAATACTTTACTTTATACTACAATAGTAGAATAACTAGCTAAAAGAGACCTCCCCTTTAGTCTAAGAGGTCCCTTAGTTTTCCTAGAATTAACTAGTCTACTTAGTTATATAAATAATCCTATCTCAGGATAATTATTAGTACTTCTATACTTAGTAGTAGTAGTACCTCCTAAATACTTAGGCCGATCTAGGGATTAACTATAGAGTAAAACTCCTTTTATATTTACACTACTAAAAGATAACTTACGATTTTAGATCCTTAAAATAAAGAACTATATAATAGTAGAAGGAATAATTAACTCTATTATATAAGCTACTATAGTAAGGAACTATATTTACACGACTATTAAGAAGCGTATTTAGTTTACTTAACTTAATAATATACTATAAGAAGTTACTAAGTTTATATACTAGCTTCTATTAAAGGAATAGCTATTCTTAGAATATAGAATATAAATATCAGCTATTAAAGTAGATCTTAGAATAATAAAGATTTAAATATTTAATAATTAGTTAGTCTAAGACTTTACTAATTTCTTTAAAGGCTTACTTTAGGATATATTATAATACTATGAACTTTTAGTAGTACTATCTAACTACTATAGTAAACTTATATAACCTATCTTCTGATATATCTATAATACTTATAAAGAAATTCTACTAATAACTTACCTTACTATAAAGGAGTAAGTACTCTAAGCTAAAGAGTACTTATATACTACCTCTTACCTTTTTAATAAGTAACTCTCTCGTACTTTAGCTAAACGCTCCGCGGCCTAACTATAGAAGAATATTAGTTTTATAGTAGTACTTATAAGTACTAATACTACTCTTATTATATTAAGAGAACTTTTATAAGATATATTAGGAAATAAGAAAAGAAGAGAAACCTAGTACTTAGATATCCCTATAGAGAAGAGAAAGAGATTATAATAAGAGAAGTGATATTTTACTTATAAAGTAATAAGTTACTAAACTAGAGATTACCTAAAGAGAAATAAAAGCTTTCCCTATTAATAGGACTAGCGGGATTAGAGGTAAATAAGTATTTAGGAGAAATCTATAGTAATATTATAAATAATATATTATTACTTACTAACGACTATTATTAATTATCTATAGACTAACTCTATAATTACTAAGAACAACTATATGCCTTACTAAGCTAAG